TCGCCAATAACCTCGGACTTTGCATTATTGAACCCTTTTAACATTTTGGTACCCGAAGTTTTAATATTTTTGCTGGGATCTCTGATTAACTTTTCAGATATGACATTACATTCGGCACCAGTGTCAAAAATGACGTTTATTAGCTGACGACCTATTTTGATAGTTTCAATGAAATCTTCTTTCTTAGTTTTTGTTGCCCTGATCTCTGAGCATTTTAGGATGACATTGACAAAAAAGTCTTCATCTGAAGTGTCTTGAGATGAGGATCGGGTGAAATCAGATATTTCACTGTCTGTATCAATCACTTTCACTCTCGTTCTCGTTTCTCTCTTCCGGCCATGTTTAATTTGTTCCGATTTCTGTCTCTTTCTGCAACATTTGGTGAAATGTCCGATATTATTACAAATTCTGCATCTTTTCCCAAAGGCAGGACATTGTTTACGACCATGGGTTGTGTCGCAACGTCTGCACTCAAAAGTTTCAGAGGAAGTCGAAGGACTCGTTTGGCACTTTTTGTAGTTTTTGATAGCATTAACATTAATTATATTTTCATTTTTTAACGTTTCCATTTGCTTGCTTCTAATTTCGCTATTTCTACATAAAGTAAGCGTCTGTGCTAAACTTGGTTCATCCATAGATAATAGTTTCTCTCTTAGATTTTCATTTCGTATACCTATGATTATTTTATCTTTTAATATTCTTTCTTCCATGTCTTTAAATTCACACTTTTTAACTTGTGTTTCTATTTTGGTGAAGAAGCAATTGAAGGTTTCATTTTCTTCTTGAGCCATTCTATTGAAAATCATTGTTTCATAAGCAGTATTTATTTTTGGCACGAACAACTCTTTAAAGGCTAGCTTAAGATCAGTCACTGAGGCTTTTTTTTCGATAGGCCAGTTGTTAAATGTTTCAAACCATTCAGTTCCTACTGTCATCATAAATGTAGATATTTGTTGATCTACATCCCTCTTGTGCAACTGTATCACTTTTTCGTACATATCGAAATGTTGTATCCATTTATTCCAATCTTTTGCTGGATCATTCTCTATTCTGAATGCTTTCGGAGGGTCGATAACTGGGATCGCTTGTGTTGCTACTGTTTTGGATGCAATCATTTGGCGATTCATTATGGTTAATTCTTCGATTTGCTCACGCAATTTATCAATTTCCTTTTTAGTTTCATCATTCATTTTGGGGATCTCACTTCTGACACCATGTAATATTATATTATTAAAAATAATAATACGAATGCAAGTAATGAGTATTTTATTTGACAGCGTTCACAACTGACAACTAACAACATTCTCTTGTTTAAGCCTGCTGCTACAGCAACTGAGTGGTAATAAATCTTAGCATCATTGGAGCGGACCCAAAATGGTGATTTAACATGCGCCAACTGAGAGTCGGTGGCCTATAGGAGGTTGACTATCTATGCTACTTTTGAAAAGTACCTCTTGGAGCGAAGTAGAGCTAGTAGATTTTTTAGTCACATGATCATCGAGCTTATGTGGAATAAAAGAACGGCTATGATTTATTAAACCTTTCTTTTAAATCAAAATTGATCTCTAGTCTCGTGGTTTTTGTTATAAGTTGCAAAGTAAAGTTAATTTTCAGCTGTGGTATTTTTCACATAAGCCATGCTCTCATTTCTGTCTGACATTTTTTATAAATATTTTTTACTCTTAATAACTAGGATACGTAAATAATATGAAAAAGTATAAACTGCGACACAAGAGACAACGAACGGCTGTCTGTACATCTCACAGAAGTACATCTACAACTTCGACTTTAATTGCTTTTTTTTTATCAATTGTCACAGAAATTACGTTTACTTCGAAAGCTCTAAAATTTAATTCGTATTAAATAGATATTATTACTCGACTTACCAGCTCTGCATTAAAAGACCACGGAGCAGATCCCATTTGAGAAGCCACAGATGTATTAAAAGAACGGCTTCGAGTAAAACGAGGTACTTTTTAAACGCAGCACTAAAAGGGTACAGTTTAACATAATATGGACGAACATTGAGCGAGACGAGTTTCCGATGTATAAAGTTTTGCTTATATCAAGTTAGTTTATTTTGACTTTTGCTTTAAGAACAGGCCAGGCACGTCATCAATCTTTTGACTGACACGTCCAAATCTTTGAGCATATATATTTCATAGAGTCCGCATTCAATAGGGTTTGTTTACGTTATGAGGGGAAAGGCCTGGACACTATTACCAGTGTCGCATCATTTTTACGGGGTTTGCAATTAAGATAAATAATAAATTTGATACATACCTTCAAAATTCTTTAAATTATACACATATTTTATAAACTTGCATTATTTAAGTAGATACCTATCTGGTATTAGTAAATAATTATTAAAATTATTATTATTAATATTATTATTTTTTTGTGTCATCGGCATCAACTGCTATGGTTATTAGCCTCGTGTTCTGTGTAGGCTTTGTTACTGTTTCCCAGCGCCACTTTAGGAACAGCAGTTAATTAGAACCCAACAGTGAATGGTCGAGTGGGGAATCCTACCAAGGCATCAGAATTAATTTTAAATAATTAAATTAAATGAAAAAATTCCGGCCAATGGTGGGATTCGAACCTGAGACCTTCCGATCTCAAAGTCATGACTCTAACCACTGAGCCAACCCACCCCTCATTATTATTATTATTTGTGCTGGAAACATCAGATTTTTTTTTAATTCAAACATCAGAAAGTGTATAACGGAAAAATGAAGGTTGAAATAATAGGGAATAAAAAAGATAAAAAGCTTATATTTAAAAATCAAAAATATAAATAGTAGGTATATTGTGATGTTTGTTTATTTTCAAACAACAGTTTATTTATTAATAATTTATTTAAACACTTATTTATTTATAACAATACTATTCTAATTTATATATATTTCGAATATCTTTCAACTGTTCACTATTTATCTTCACACTGTCTATGTACCAATGACTTTTCGTTGATCCTCCACCAATATGTATATACGAATTGGTGGATTCCAGAAAGCTCCTCCGCCAAAACATCTCATATCTGGAATATACCAGAAACATCACGTTGACTCAGGAATGTTCGCGAAAGTGCCTCCGCCATAGTCGTCACATATGTTTGGTCTCAAGGGGTTTAATTATGTATGATAATCGGACAAGTTGAGCCTCAAAGGCCAAATAAGACAGAGAGGGACTTGGAGGATTAGAGCATGACTGAATAATAAAATGGCTCACATAACAATATTATACAAATATTTATGATATCTTTTAACACACGTGTACGAGAATTACAATACAAGAACTTTTTCCAATAATTTATTAAATATAAAAATATTGTTCGTAACCAATGTTCAATAGATTACTAACCGATATACTACAAATAGAAATCTAGCTAATACTTAGATACTTGGGTACATTTGCACTGCTAGTCGTTAACAAATAAGTGAAGCTTCATTTTATTGGAAAACTCTCCTAAGCTTTGATTATTTCTTAGTGACTAGGAGTGCAAATAAAAGAAGCTTAAAATGACTTTTTCTGACATGCCAAGCAAAACGAAACAGACCAATAGGAATGCTGGACACTATTTTCCCCCCTGTACCGAAACAAAGTCCATTTGGACGATGACTCTAATATATGCTCGAAGGTCCAAATACAGGAAAGCAATGGCGTATATAAAATGTATCTACTACATTGTATATTAAAGTACATAGCGGAAAACCAATTTGTGTCGGGGACATTTTTACAAATTTTACACGAAAATTAACTAGACCTAGGTAAATTATACGTCAACTTACAAAAGAAGCATTAAATTAACTGTTCAATCATAAAAACAAACAAGGAATTATAATTTGAATGTTTTTCATTTTCTTACAGATATAATTTGTCTAATAATTTTCGGAACTTTAATATTTAATAAATACAAGATATAATTAAATCAAAACCAAACTATAATTGGTGTGTTAATTAGTAAAGCTACGGTGACTCCAATTCAATTAACTTTTTAAATGAAAAATATTTGTTTTGTATTAAATTTAAACATTTTAAAAATGTAGTAAATATCTATTATCTACAATAATATTGTCATACATTTTTCTCTTTAAAAAAAGTACCATATTTGTGCATTATTTTTTTTCGATTTATGGCCCAGGTGTATGTACCTAATATGCCAGTCTCAATCATGTGTGTTCTGTGTAGGCTTTGTTACTTTTTCCCAGCGCCACTTCAGGAACAGCACTGTTAAAATTAATTTTAAATAATTAAATTAAATGAAAAAATCCCGCCAGTGGGATTCGAACCTGGGTCCCTTGGATCCGCAGGCAGAGACTCTACCACTGAGCCCCCCCCCCCCCCCCCCCCCCCCCCCCCCCATTTGTACATTAATATTTTTTAAATTATATAAACATGGACAAATTTAACGCATATTTTTAGAAACGTGTAAAAAATGTTTGGTAATAATTTATTCTTGAGAAAAATTTCATGCAAAAAATTCAAATATGTTCTTCTTCCGTAGCTCTACAGTCTATGGTGGGTCTTGGGTAACTACAATTCACCTCCATCTGACCTAATCAGCACCAACGACATAAAAGGTTCTTTAAAATTAACTACTTTTATTGCTAGATCTGAAAGTGCATCCAAAATTAAGGGCAAATTTTCTTTATTGAAAAATTACAAAATTCAATACAATGAGAGTGTCCCGATATCCAAAAAAGAACTTTTCTGTTTGCTTCACTTTAGAACGGCAGCTTATTTTCTTATTTACTCATTCTTTTAGTTAGCCTCATAGTTATCTTTCAGCACATTTTGTTAAACATCACAACGTATAGTCCCAAGCAAAAGTTAATAAATACTAAACTTAAACCTGAAACATTTTATTCATTTAACTTAATATAAGCCAGAATTTAAATAGCCTATTACGTTTCATTTGACCAATTCGTTTTATTTCACGACATATCAATTAAATGACTACTAACACTTAACATTACACGATTTTTTTTTTATTTCAGGCGTCAGTATTAATATTCTCCGCCCAAATGCGTTTCATCTCTTCCGTTGAAATAACGAAGAACATTTCGTTGATAAGCAACGAAAAAAAATCATGCAAGGTTATAAACATGCAATTGGACACACCTCAAGAAAGGCCTCTGATGGTAATGCTATCTTGGCTGATGGCCAAAAAGAAGCACGTCTACAAGTACGCCGACATTTATTTGAAACACGATTTTGACGTTTTGAATGTGAACATTAGTCCTTGGCAGCTGCTCTGGCCTACCAAAGGAACGCAGGTAAGAATCACAGCTTTTAACACTTATTATTTTTCTGATATTTGAAAAACTAGAAGCGAATAACAAACAATAGCAAGGAGATCCTTGGCTTGAATATTAGGTGGGCCTCTATTCTTCCTAAAACTTTTTCATAAATCACTCAATAGAACCTTATTTATTGCACGTTTCATTCTAAATATAATTTTTCGAAACTTATTACTCGAGTGTTTTTTTGGGTCGCTGAGTACGAATCCGGTATAAAAAATATATAATTCAAAATTAAAGTCAACCAGATTCGCTTGAAACTTCTTACTCAAAAAAAAAACAAAATTCAAAATGGCCAAATATTGTATCTTGGAGTGTTTTAAGTCACATATTACAAATCTACTATCAGATTTTCAAAGTTCATAATACCGGATCTAATATGGCAGATCTTGGTATAAAAATGGAAGAAAATATTGATTAAGTCGTAAATAATTGATATGTTTTAACACTCATTTTCAAGTCTTGATCGACAATTTTTTAATTTTGTTGGCCCATTTTTGATTCATTTTAAATTTTTAAAGTCATAATCAAAATCAGCGACCTCGAAACCCTCCAGGTTTCATTGTAATGCAAAACAAGCAATTTTTATTATTTTACGACGCCATATTGGATCCGCCATTTTGCATTTCTAATTTTAAATTTTTAAATGTCATTTTCAAAATCATCGACCTCTAAACTTCCCTTAGAAACCTTCCAGGTTTCATTTTTATGCAGAACAAGCAATTTTTAATATTTTACGGTGCCATATTGGATCTGCCATTTTGCATTTCTAATTTTAAATGTCATATTCAAAATCAGTAATCTCAAAACTCCCTTAGAAACCCTTCAGGTTTAATTTTTATGCGAAACGAGCAATTTTTATTATTTTTGTCGGGCGCCATATTGGATCCGTCATTTTGTATTTCTAATTGTTAATGGCATATTCAAAATTAGCGACCTCAAAAATCCTTGAGAAATTCTTCAGGTTTCATTTCTATGCAAAATGAGCATTTTTTAATATTTTCGGGCGCCATATTGGATCTGCCATTTTGTCTTTAATTTTTAATGTCATATCCATAATCAACTATCCCCAAAAACCCTGCAGATGTTCATCTCATAAAAATGAATCTTTAATGTTTTGGCCAAAAATAGATTAAACATCCCATGGTGCCGTGGTATCATGAAAAACAAGCCAACTATAATAAAAGTCTTTCTAGGCCGTCTGTTTAATATTCCATTTTAAAGTATTGTATGAGATTAACCCTTTATCTGACGCGTCCTAGCAAGCAAAAATAAGTATGAGACCATGTTGGTATCATATGGCACAATACGTGTTAAACAATGAAATATATAGTTTCATAGATAGCTCCAGTGGCGGCTCGTGCTTAGCACATAGGTGGAGCCACGGATTAACATTTTCGGGTGCCTAGCCCAGATTTTGACTCGAAGTCGTTAAAAAGCATATCTTGGGTAATATTTTAAAGTGTATTAACGTGCGCATTTATCATTTTTACAAAATAATAAATAACATAAAAAAACTTAAGAGGAGTATTTACTCGGCTGTAGCGCGGAGCATGCAAGGGTTTCGTAGTACCCCACTTTTAAAGTTTATTTTCGACTTTTTCTAAAAGAAAAAAATATGTACGTATAGGTAAAGGTTAAATCTGTGCTCCTCTGGAGACTCTTTTTTAAAATTTGATTCAGTTTTTTATAAAAAAAATACAAAACTCGACTTTTTTTACCCATTTTCTCATTTTTTTTTTAGAAAAATCTAAATTGAATTTTGAAAAAGTGGTTCCAGAGGAGCATAGATTTAACCTTTACCTACACACACATATTTTTTTTCTTTTAAAAATAGTCAAAAATAAACTTTAAAAGTGGGGTACTACGAAACCCTTGCATTGCAAGATTTTTCGTCTGGAAAGTGGCGCCTCTGTTAGATTTTTAAGAAATTAATATTTGTGAATGAAAACAATTTATAATATATTTTACTGATGTTTTACGAGGGATAAACAATTTTTACCTATTTGTACACCTTATTTTTTAGGTAAATCATTTCTGTAGTACTAAGATTGGCATATATATTATATGCAAGGGTTTCATAGTACACCAAGTTTACGGATTATTTTTTATTTTTACCAAAAGAAAATTTATGTAGGTACAGGTAAAGGCTAAACCCGTACCTCTCTGGAGTCACTTTAAAAATTTGAATCAGTCTCTTCTGAAAAAATCTAAGAAAATAATTAGAAATGTTAAAAAATGCTAGAAGGGAACAATATATTTAATTTTTGTCTACAGGAGCATTTATTTTTCTTACAATAAAAATAGAAATACATTGAAAGTTTTTTCTTCTAGAGGGTGACACCAACAAAATATATATCTTTTTCTACTATTTAGTGATTTGAATTAATTTTATTTTTACATATAGTAATTTCGCTCAATTATGTTAAAATAATGTTATCATTTGTTTTTTAAAAAAATTATCCGAAATTAAAAGGTATGCACTGAGATGTGAATTATAAAAATATGTTTTTGTTTAACTTTAATATCGCACGGTTTTTTTTTTTTTTGTTTAATGAATATCTCTTCGAGTTAACAATAATTATTAATTCCAGCATGTTAACAACTCTTCAATCCGTTAAAGTATTGTAAATAATTTTTCTTGCATTCACACATGGCTTTGATCTGTCGTACTCTTTAGGCGTGTTGCAAGAGAAGATTTTCTAAAATATAAGCCAATGTCTATGGATGAGAAAAAAACGATTGTGACAATTGCTGATTGTGCAATGTGGCACAATAAAAGACGAAAACTAGCTTTAAAATTTGTAAAAAATCTAAAATCTTTTATTTATTGCTAAAGCCACCCGATATGGCATAGGCCATAAATTCAGAGCAAAATAAGATTTGGAAATTTATTTGCAAGAAAAAGTTTTTCAATGTTGACAGTTTATTAAATCCGAATTTGATTATGTTGCTGCAAATCTGGATGGAATTAAAAAAAAAACAAATTCTATGATAGAGTTGAAATGTCCATATGGAGCTAGAGTTCTGAATGTAGAAGAAAAAATATGCAGTAGAAAAACAACTTTTAGGAAAAAGGACAATACCATTAAGAAGAACCACTATTGGTATTTTCAAATTCAGGGCTAGCTGTACGTAACACAAATGGATTTTTGCATTTTGTGCTTTTGGACTTCTGCAGGAATAAAAGTGGAGAAAGTTCCTCATAATGGCAGCTTTTGGGAAGAAAAGATACAAAATAAAATTCAAAATTTTTATATGCAATATGCCTTGTCGGAACTTGTTGACAGCGGAGCTAATAGAGACATAGAAAAGTACGACACAGAATACTAAATAATTCGTGAGAAATTTGGTTTTTTATTAATATAACGCAAGGAATCTTAAATGATTTTGAATATGTTTATTAATTTAATAATTACATTTTATTTATTTCTAAAAATGATAGTAGGCGATCCATTTAAAATATAATTAATGTCTTATTATATTACGCATTTTTAAATTTAGGATTTTACCAGTGTCAGTGGCAATTGATGATATATAATTATTATTATTATACCCAATGTTTTAAAAGGTTACACCAACTAGTGGACCACGTTTTTAAGTCCCCAAATAATAATTTCAAGAATTTGATTCCAATAAGAAGTTTTACTATACAGGGTTTTGTGCCAAAACCAAGTCATTTATTGATATTGTAAAACGCAGATGAGTAACTATCACATCAATAGAAAATTCACATATGAATCTTTAAAACGTAATTATTTATAACTTTAATAACTTCATACGGTCAAAAATTTTAACAAACTTATTTAATTTTAAATATAAATTGATTTTCATTTTAACTTAGAAATTTTCGAAAAGTTGTTGCAACTTTATTGCGCTTAAGTAGCGTTCAGATTAAAATATGAATTGATTTAAGGAGCTTAACTGAAAAACGGGAACTAATGCTTCCATTCCAAAAAAAGTATTATGGTCAATTTTAAACTGTGATATCTTCAAGTTCTTATTTAAAACCTTTAAATATTAATATTATCATTAAATAAGATTTATCTTTGCAAATTGATACAAATATCGAACCTAAGTTTGTTGACATAAACATTATTTTCATAATACAAATAAATATATCTCCGTTAAAGAATGGTCATAATTTATTTAATATATTCATTTAAACATGTTTTTGTTTTTTGTCTAGATGATATTGAATACTAACTTTTTCTATATAACTTCTTATACCCGACATTGTGAGATAAAAAAACAGACAATTAATTAAGAGCGTACTTATAATTTTTCGGGTATAGGAGTTTCAATGTTATATTGTTTCCCAAATTATGAAAATACTAAAAAATTTAAAAAGCCAATTAAAGATTGTGTTAATATCTACAGAAGAACTTGCTTGACAACATCGTGTTTCTTTTTTGGAAACAGAGAACAGTCAAAAATTATGAAAATAACATATTTTTATTTCAAAAAAATAATAGGTCAGTTTTTTGTTGTTTATGTAAATCGTGTCATTTTCAAGGCAATAAATCAGAAGAAAACTCACCGAAAACCGATTTCAAAAAGGTCTTTTAGTTTTTTTTAGAAAATGGAAACAGAAAAAAACGTTTTTTAATCGAGTTACAATTCTTTAATAATTTCGCTGTTTCTCTTCGACGATATCCGGTCTCCCTCTTGTTTAAAATCGATAACTATAAACGGATTAAGGTATTTTGTACCTGTTAAAAAATTTAAGAAATATTTTGAAGAATATAATTTTTTATAAAAAATAGTAAACTTTAATAAACATATACAATATTCTAAAGATAAATCACATTTTTGTGATTATACAAATTTTTTATTTATTTTTCCAATTTCTGTACCATAAATATAAATTTGGCTGCGCAGTGAACTAGGTACTCTTCTAGAAACCGAACCCACATTTTTACATATAAAATTAATTTAAAAAAATGTATATAACCCCATATAGTAGTTTTTAGTTA